TGTCTGCTTATAAAATCACAAGCACATCTTATGCTTTAAGCAAGTGGCAGGGCCTCTTCTATGCAACAACACAACAGTAACCTATGCTAGTTTCACCAACTCTGAATTGCCCCAGCATGCTTTAATTTTTTTTTAGGGACTTCTGAGGAAGAAATGGCCTGGCGTAGTTTTGATTGGGCTTTGCTAGGGGTTTTATATGAAGTATTTTAGAGCAAGCTTTTTATTCAATATTTATTGTGATTTTTATTATTGCCTGTTCACCGCCCTGAGTCCCGTAAGGGAGATAGGGCGGCATATAAATTTAAAAAATAAATAAATAAATAAATAAATAAATGAATGAATGAATGAATGAATGAATGAATAATAAATAAATAAATAAATAAATAAATAAATAAATAAATAAATAAATAAATAAATAAATAAATAAATAAATAAATAAATAAATAAATAAATAAATAAATAAATAAATGGAAGTTGGCTCTGCTAAAAGCGGAGCTGACGGCTGCAGTGGAATGAAAAGCCATCCAGTAGACCAGCTCTTTGCAATCCCTTCCCTGTCCTTCAAATCATCCAAAAGTGCTCCAAAGAGTTGCTCTTCTTGGGCAGTTTAGTATATATGGAAGATGAGAAAATAACCATGTTGCTTAAACCACGATTGGTACCTTCAGAAAGATACTGGTTTCACATACTTCCTTTTCTAATCACTTTCAGAAATTGTTCATTAACTGTTTGGATTGACAAGACTGAAAAAATGGATGAGTTTTCTTCAATATTTAATGAAAAAGAAGAAGTTTAAGGTGTCTGTGTGTGTATGTATGTATGTAGAATAAACAGCAAAAGTTATCAGTAGAATTTAATTTTGGAAAGTTACAAACAGACTGATGGTCCAGATGAATTTGAAATCAGATTTTAAAATTATTATAAAACTCCTTCCAGAAATGCTTTTATTTTGATTTTTTTTTTTTAAAAAAAATATATGATAGGATGAGACTTGAAAGTTGGAGACTAGAGGGCACCAGAAGAACTAAAGATAACAATTAAAGGAGAAAAACACATAAATTTGACTTACTAATAGAGAATGAAATAAAATATTTTAACATTGGACATATTGAAGGATATTTTTTGAACAATGGACCCAGAAGTTAATTTTAAAAGTATCTGCCTCTATGTGTTTGTTAAGTGTTTTAGGAGAAGAACAAGTTTTCCCTGACAAGATTGAGACTACTTTGAAAGTAGATTTAAAAATGACAGCCTACAAAAATGACGGGGAATTGTAGCAATAGCACTTAGGCTTATATACCACTTCGTAGTGTTTTACAGCCCTCTCTAAGGGGTTTACAGAATCAGCATGTTGCCCCCAACAATCTGGATCCTCTTTTTACTGACCTCGGAAGGATGGAAGGCTGAGTCAACTTTGAGCAAGTCAGGATCGAATTCCTGGCTGTGGGCAGAGTTAGTCTGCAATACTGTATTCTAACCACTGCTCTACATTGGACATACAAAAGAAAATAGCTGATGTTTTAGTAATTAAAAGAGATGTACAAATGACCTGGATAATTTTCCTACATTCCTACAAAAAAGTCGTTTAAACTTCCAAGAACTTTGTGAGAAGGGACAAAGAAAAAAATAAGAAGAAATCAAATTGTAGGATCAACTTTGTTAAAAGGACTATAAACTTGGTGTATTTGATTAAGGTTAAAACAGATAAGATGTTATCTCTGGTAACGAGGAGACCTTAAGGATTTGTTTATAGAGAAGAGATGGGATATAGAAAGAAGGATTTATTTGTTGTATTTTAAGAGAAGGTGGTAAGTTACTGACATTGTTTATATTTGTGATGAGGAAGTCATTTCTTTATATACTTGTCTTCTTTGTCTTATTTTTTTTACTTTTTTCTATTTTTCTAATTATTTTCTGAACCTTCTATTTTTTAATTCTTTCAGTTTTTATTAATTCTTATCTTTGCAATTATAATTTTTTAAAACTACTATTGAAAATAGAGAAGCTTGATCATTACATAAAATAAACTCTACAAAGCATGCTTTAATTATTTTAGTCTCTTACCACAGAGTAATTAAGATGCCTCGTAAAGTGAGCATAATTATAGTCCAAGCATAAGTACCAAACAGCAAACTTCAAGAACTTTAATGAACATCAACAGAGATGTCCGAGAAGTGCATCAGTATAGCCAATGTTATGTACAGCTCAAAATTTGCACAAACATTCTTGTGTTTGAAAGAGAGCAACTTGTATGTTAGCTTATGTCATTCATAGGCCTTCTGCATCACGTTTTGACATAGATTCCATTTTTGCAGAAAAATATTTATTTAAAGGGAAAATAATGCTTCCAGTAAGTTTACTATAGAGGATGGGGACCATGCTGATCTGATGTTTATTCCTGCAATAGAAATTGCTGAATTGTTCAAATGGTTCAGATAATTAAATAAGGGGGTGGTTTGATATAAGTGAGCATCAAAGTCCTTGTTCTTCATTCTCCCTAAATATACTATGCTATAAACATAAATATATATATGCCCTGTATCTATGTGTCATGTATATATATTTGGGGCATGTCGGGGTGAGGGGAGAATCTCCAGGATTAGTGTCTACTGGAGTTGACAATCTAGAGCAGCGGTTCTCAACCTATGGGTCGTGACCCCATTTGGGGTCGATCGACCATTTCACGGGGGTCGCCAAGCAAGGCTGTCCATTTTTTTCCCTTTTCCGGCGGGTGCCTTACCTCCCTTGGGCTGGGCCAGCTGGTGGTCAGCCTGCTCCGTCTCTGCCGCTTGCCAGCTATGCCTCGGCCGGCGCAGGGGGCGGAACCACACATGCGCAGTGCTCCCAGGCAGGGAAAGTCTTCGACTTACGACCGGTTGGTTAGTCCTCGACTTACGACCGGTTTAGTCCTCGACTTACGACCGGTTGGGGGTCGCGGCATTAAAAAGGTTGAGAACCACTGATCTAGAGGTACAAGATGGGGAAGCTGGGCACTGAAAGGCTATTTGGCTGTGTTACAATTTTTTTATGTGTAGTTTTTCTTGGGGAGGGGTGTCTGAAATCTTAAATTCAGGGTTCCTTTCCTTTCTATATCATTTCTCCTAATCAGAAGTCAATATTTATGGAAAAGAAAATGTAACTTTTGCAAAGGGAAAATAACATGTAGAAAAACTAAGGAGAAGTGCTGACAAAATTTTCTCTTTATACACTAAAATATATATTAGATACACAGAAAGCTTTAAATAACTGAATTGGTTCCGAAACGAAATGCTTTTTTAAAAAAAATACAGCTTATTTTACTTTAGAAATTCTGGAAACAAAACCATACTAAATCATTTTAAGCCTTCAACTGCTAATCTTAATGGAAGAAAAGGTTGTAGCAAAATAATAATTTGTATTTTTTTAGAAAAACATTGTGAAATCATTAGTAATATTTGATTAACCTATTCACATTAAAAAAAAACCTCCAGAAACTCAGAATTGCTAAATGTTCTGACTACAGTTTCAGACAGTAGCAGCAATTGAAGTCTTTTTCATTCATCTTTGCAAACAGAAGTGAACTGAATGTTCTGAGAACATTTGCCAAAACCTCTTATGTGTATTTTACTTTTTACATTTAAAGAGTATACTGATATGCTTAAAAAAGCCTTTTGGGAGTATGATGGTGAGCTGCTATAGCAATTCTCGTAAGATCCTTGCCCTTTATTTCTTTTTAAAAGGCAATATAGACTACATTATTTTACTATCTGTAAATTAGGGAGGGAGGGAGGGAGGGAGCTTTTGAATAACACCAAGTTGCATGTCTTTTTAGATACTATTGGAAGCAATTTATATCTATAAGAAGCAATTGCTCTCGCCTTAATCTGAAAAGTGAAATTCTAAACATCTGCACAAGGTCTTCTCAGGAGAATACACAGGAAACCCTAAGTTATGCTGACCCCAGATCATTTTTAAAAACAACATGTATTTAAACTGGCAAACAAATGAAAACTTGGTAGTATTTTCTTGCGATTTAAGAGAATATATCAGAGCTCAAAGTTGAAGTGAGCTTGATTGTTTGCTTGCAGACATTTTATTATCCAACTAAGGTAACAACATCAGTGACAGTGAGTTTGGGCTTTACTAGTTAGGTAGTGAAATGTCTGCAAGCAAACAATCAAGTTCAGGGAGCACAAATGACTCCACAGTATTTTCTTGGTTTTTAGAAACATTTAACACAGTGTTTCTCAACCTTGACAATTTTAAGGCATGTGGACTTCAACTCCCAGAATTCCACAGCCAGCAATGCTGGCTGTGGAATTCTGGGAGTTGAAGTCCACATGCCTTAAAATTGNTGTCTGCTTATAAAATCACAAGCACATCTTATGCTTTAAGCAAGTGGCAGGGCCTCTTCTATGCAACAACACAACAGTAACCTATGCTAGTTTCACCAACTCTGAATTGCCCCAGCATGCTTTAATTTTTTTTTAGGGACTTCTGAGGAAGAAATGGCCTGGCGTAGTTTTGATTGGGCTTTGCTAGGGGTTTTATATGGGGTATTTTAGAGCAGGCTTTTTATTCAATATTTATTGTGATTTTTATTGTTGCCTGTTCACCGCCCTGAGTCCCGTAAGGGAGATAGGGCGGTATATAAATTTAAATAATAAATAAATAAATAAATGGAAGGTGGCTCTGCTAAAAGCGGAGCTGACGGCTGCAGTGGAATGAAAAGCCATCCAGTAGACCAGCTCTTTGCAATCCCTTCCCTGTCCTTCAAATCATCCAAAAGTGCTCCAAAGAGTTGCTCTTCTTGGGCAGTTTAGCATATATGGAAGATGAGAAAATAACCATGTTGCTTAAACCACGATTGGTACCTTCAAAAAGATACTGGTTTCACATACTTCCTTTTCTAATCACTTTCAGAAATTGTTCATTAACTGTTTGGATTGACAAGACTGAAAAAACGGATGAGTTTTCTTCAATATTTAATGAAAAAGAAGAAGTTTAAGGTGTCTGTGTGTGTATGTATGTATGTAGAATAAACAGCAAAAGTTATCAGTAGAATTTAATTTTGGAAAGTTACAAACAGACTGATGGTCCAGATGAATTTGAAATCAGATTTTAAAATTATTATAAAAATCCTTCCAGAAATGCTTTTATTTTGATTTTTTTTTAAAAAAAAAATATATGATAGGATGAGACTTGAAAGTTGGAGACTAGAGGGCACCAGAAGAACTAAAGATAACAATTAAAGGAGAAAAACACATAAATTTGACTTACTAATAGAGAATGAAATAAAATATTTTAACATTGGACATATTGAAGGATATTTTTTGAACAATGGACCCAGAAGTTAATTTTAAAAGTATCTGCCTCTATGTGTTTGTTAAGTGTTTTAGGAGAAGAACAAGTTTTCCCTGACAAGATTGAGACTACTTTGAAAGTAGATTTAAAAATGACAGCCTACAAAAATGACGGGGAATTGTAGCAATAGCACTTAGGCTTATATACCACTTCATAGTGTTTTACAGCCCTCTCTAAGGGGTTTACAGAATCAGCATGTTGCCCCCAACAATCTGGATCCTCTTTTTACTGACCTCGGAAGGATGGAAGGCTGAGTCAACTTTGAGCAAGTCAGGATCGAATTCCTGGCTGTGGGCAGAGTTAGTCTGCAATACTGCATTTTAACCACTGCTCTACATTGGACATACAAAAGAAAATAGCTGATGTTTTAGTAATTAAAAGAGATGTACAAATGACCTGGATAATTTTCCTACATTCCTACAAAAAAGTCGTTTAAACTTCCAAGAACTTTGTGAGAAGGGACAAAGAAAAAAATAAGAAGAAATCAAATTGTAGGATCAACTTTGTTAAACAGACTATAAACTTGGTGTATTTGATTAAGGTTAAAACAGAGAAGATGTTATCTCTGGTAACGAGGAGACCTTAAAGATTTGTTTATAGAGAAGAGATGGGATATAGAAAGAAGGATTTATTTGTTGTATTTTAAGAGAAGGTGGTAAGTTACTGACATTGTTTATATTTGTGATGAGGAAGTCATTTCTTTATATACGTGTCTTCTTTGTCTTATTTGTTTACTTTTTTCTATTTTTCTAGTTTTTTTCTGAACCTTCTATTTTTTAATTCTTTTAGTTTGTATTAATTCTTATCTTTGCAATTATAATTTTTTAAAACTACTATTGAAAATAGAGAAGCTTGATCATTACATAAAATAAACTCTACAAAGCATGCTTTAATTATTTTAGTCTCTTACCACAGAGTAATTAAGATGCCTCGTAAAGTGAGCATAATTATAGTCCAAGCATAAGTACCAAACAGCAAACTTCAAGAACTTTAATGAACATCAACAGAGATGTCCGAGAAGTGCATCAGTATAGCCAATGTTATGTACAGCTCAAAATTTGCACAAACATTCTTGTGTTTGAAAGAGAGCAACTTGTATGTTAGCTTATGTCATTCATAGGCCTTCTGCATCACGTTTTGACATAGATTCGGTTTTTGCAGAGAAATATTTATTTAAAGGGAAAATAATGCTTCCAGTAAGTTTACTATAGAGGATGGGGACCATGCTGATCTGATGTTTATTCCTGCAATAGAAATTGCTGAGTTGTTCAAATGGTTCAGATAATTAAATAAGGGGGTGGTTTGATATAAGTAAGCATCAAAGTCCTTGTTCTTCATTCTCCCTAAATATACTATGCTATAAACATAAATATATGTATGCCCTGTATCTATGTGTCATGTATATATATTTGGGGCATGTGGAGGTGAGGGGAGAATCTCCAGGATTAGTGTCTACTGGAGTTGACAATCTAGAGCAGCGGTTCTCAACCTATGGGTCGCGACCCCATTTGGGGTCGATCGACCATTTCACGGGGGTCGCCAAGCAAGGCTGTCCGCCATTTTTTTCCCTTTTCCGGCGGGTGCCTTACTTCCCTTGGGCTGGGCCAGCTGGTGGTCAGCCTGCTCCGTCTCTGCCGCTTGCCAGCTACGCCTCGGCAGGCGCAGGGGGCGGAACGACGCATGCGCAGCGCTCCCGGGCAGGGAAAGTCCTCGACTTATGACCGGTTGGGTAGTCCTCGACTTACGACCGGTTTAGTCCTCGACTTACGACCGGTTTAGTCCTCGACTTACGACCGGTTGGGGTCGCGGCATTAAAAAGGTTGAGAACCACTGATCTAGAAGTACAAGATGGGGAAGCTGGGCATTGAAAGGCTATTTGGCTGTGTTACAATTTTTTTATGTGTAGTTTTTCTTGGGGAGGGGTGTCTGAGATCTTAAATTCAGGGTTCCTTTCCTTTCTGTATCATTTCTCCTAATCAGAAGTCAATATTTATGAAAAAGAAAATGTAACTTTTGCAAAGGGAAAATAACATGTAGAAAAACTAAGGAGAAGTGCTGACAAAATTTTCTCTTTATACACTAAAATATATATTAGATACACAGAAAGCTTTAAATAACTGAATTGGTTCCGAAATGAAATGCTTTTTTAAAAAAAATACAGCTTATTTTACTTTAGAAATTCTGGAAACAAAACCATACTAAATCATTTTAAGCCTTCAACTGCTAATCTTAATGGAAGAAAAGGTTGTAGCAAAATAATAATCATAATTTGTATTTTTTTAGAAAAACATTGTGAAATCATTAGTAATATTTGATTAACCTATTCACATTAAAAAAAACCTCCAGAAACTCAGAATTGCTTAATGTTCTGACTACAGTTTCAGACAGTAGCAGCAATTGAAGTCTTTTTCATTCATCTTTACAAACAGAAGTGAACTGAATGTTCTGAGAACATTTGCCAAAACCTCTTATGTGTATTTTACTTTTTACATTTAAAGAGTATACTGATATGCTTAAAAAAAGCCTTTTGGGAGTATGATGGTGAGCTGCTATAGCAATTCTCGTAAGATCCTTGCCCTTTATTTCTTTTTAAAAGGCAATATAGACTACATTATTTTACTATCTGTAAATTAGGGAGTGAGGGATGGAGCTTTTGAATAACACCAAGTTGCACGTCTTTTTAGATACTATTGGAAACAATTTATATCTGTAAGAAGCAATTGCTCTCGCCTTAATCTGAAAAGTGAAATTGTAAACATCTGCACAAGGTCTTCTCAGGAGAATACACAGGAAACCCTAAGTTATGCTGACCCCAGATCATTTTTAAAAACAACATGTATTTAAACTGGCAAACAAATGAAAACTTGGTAGTATTTTCTTGCGATTCAAGAGAATATATCAGAGCTCAAAGTTGAAGTGAGCTTGATTGTTTGCTTGCAGACATTTTATTATCCAACTAGGTAACAACATCAGTGACAGTGAGTTTGGGCTTTACTAGTTAGGTAATGAAATGTCTGCAAGCAAACAATCAAGTTCAGGGAGCACAAATGACTCCACAGTATTTTCTTGGTTTTTAGAAACATTTAACACAGTGTTTCTCAACCTTGACAATTTTAAGGCATGTGGACTTCAACTCCCAGAATTCCACAGCCAGCAATGCTGGCTGTGGAATTCTGGGAGTTGAAGTCCACATGCCTTAAAATTGTCAAGGTTGAGAAACACTGATTTAACACATATCAATAGGCAAACACATAAACAACTAAGTTAATTGCCATAACATGGACAAATTTAGGGGAACTAATTAGATCTGTCTTAATGAAAAAAGGAGAAAGAAAGCCAAAAGAGAAATGTAATTCTAGAAGTATAGGGCTGAGTCCATACTAGATCTGAGCAAATAGTTGATTTGAAGATTCAGTCAAATCACTGCATCAGCTTAGAAAGCTGAATCATTAAATACATGAGTTGCTTTTAAATCTATTCAAACAATCTGAATGCTTCTGCAGATGTGGAGAAAACTTTTTTGGAATGATTTGTAATTGAAATCAACCTGTTTCAACAATTTGGTTCAATTCAAATCAGATATTGTCACATTCATACTTCCAACATTGTGCATGCTGATTATTACTCAGATTATCACCCACCGGCTTTATTAGTGAGGATACCAGAAGATTGGAAGGTACCAAATATGACACTAATTTTTAAAAGAGACAAGGAGGGATCAGGATAATAAGTTAGTCAGCTTTATTTATCCCAGATAAATTGGTAGAAAAGGTCATCAAAATTAAAATAACCAAGAATTTTGTGGGCCTAGGCCATCATAGTAACTTTTTTTAGATTATGTGATTTATAGTTTATTTTCCTATGATTTTGTATTATGAACCACCGAGTTCTTGGAAGTAGAGTAATATATAAACACATACATTTTATATGAGAGCCTATTGGTATGGGAGAGATTGGAAATCAGAACATGGACCTGAAAAGAATATTCTGGAAGAACGCGTAGCCAGCCAGATGACAGATTGGTAGGCTGGTCGGCCTACTTCACTAGTTTCCTATAGATTCCCATTTTAACTGCATGTGCTCAAATTTTTATCCAAGTCTTTTACTTACTTCCAGGTCCTAAAGTGGCTGAACATAGATCAATAAGGTTATATATTCAGAGACATTTCTGTGGTTAGTTTCTTGGGAAATGTAAAGTTATTCCTGAAATGTTCATTACAGTTCTTGGTAATAAGTCACACACTAAGGATTTGAAAACAGACTTAATGCAGATTATTTATATTTACATTTACACGTTACATTTAATTTACATACAGAGAATATGTTTACAGAAAACAATTGTTTTCATTTTCATACTTCAGTGTGAGTTATAAATTTCAAAATGTATATGAATTTCTTACCGAATCATCAAGGCCATCTATGTGTAAAACTACTGTTTTAGCACGTTTATTTGTACTTCCAAGAAAAAACTGAGCTTTTCGACGTCGAGAATTCATTTCATTCACATTGTCCATGTCAGACATATTGGAAGACTGAAGAATATCATAGATTTCAGAAGCTAATAGTTTTGTTTCCCCGGGTGTTGTGGTCCTAAGGCAAAGAAAAAACAGATTTATTTAGATTACAGGTTTTTCTTAACCCAATTTGTTTTACAATTCTCCCAGAAAAGACAGCTGCTTGTTTTTTTTAATGTAAATAGAACTATAGATCCTAAGACTGTTTTTCAGTCTTGGCTATTAATTTTACAAAGCAACCTCCCTTACAAAAAGATTCCTTCCCTAAATATTTTCCAGAAGATGACGGAGTTATTCCAGAAAGATTTTGGTGTCTTATTTTAACATTATTAATAATTTATTATGGATGTTGACTTAAATGATTTATTGGGAGTTGAAGTCCAGACACCTTAATGTATGAGGTTGAGAAACACTGAGCTAGTTATTGTATGTATATAAGAAAAAAAATCATATATTTGTGGTAGTCACATGACATTCTCCAGTGAATAGTAATAATGGAAAAACCAGAGATGAAAGGGGGGGGGGAGAATGTGCAATATTCTGAATGAATGAAGTACAAGGAGAAAAACAGTGTGGTAGCGGACATTGAATGCATGGGTGACAATCAGATGAGAGAATTCAATAAGGACATTGAGACACCCAACAATGAATTAGAAATATGACTCTTTAAATGTCTGTTTAGGGGGGAAATATTTGTTTAACACAGGGTCTAACCACAAGTGTATTATATGTATATGTGGAAAGGAATAAATCTAAATCTAAAAGCATGACTGACCTGATAATCTGGGGAACTGGACATAAGGAAAAAAGGTGTGGAAGCTGCTTGGAAAAGAGTAGAAATACTATGTTGCTCCCATCCAGAGTAAAGTCATATAACAAAATATGTTAAGGTAAGAAGTGCTTAGCCTTGGAATAAAATAATCAAACTTTACTTGGATTTTCTTTCAGGAGGTATATTATGTTAAATAGAGGTGCCTCAAAGATGGGAAGAAATTGCTCTTAGAAAGAAAAGATGAACATTATTGAAGGATATTAGTATAAAGACAGATGTAGTTTTGAAATATGTGTCTTTGTATATTTTCTGTAGGTATATATACACTCTTTGTCCAAAGCAACATTTAACAGATGTTTTATAGTTTCAGAGATACTCTGGCAGAGAAATACAAAATCACAAGGATAATGAATACATTTCAGCACACATGAATCCCTCAAAATGGAGAAATAGCAATCCAATGTTGCTGAAAATGGTATAATAATATTTAGAGGCTTATTTTAGTTTAATCAGAACACTACTGCTTTGGTACAATAATAATTTTAACTCTTCTCCACATTTCTGGAATGGCACCTTTGTGTAACACAGTTATGAAAATATTATCAGTTCCTAGAAAATTTCAGTTGGGGAATTATAAGTATTTTATGAATTTTATTATGATTAATAACTTTTGATTATTCCCTTCTGTCAATCAAGGTATTTTGTTATTAAGTAAATAAACACTGACTGCATTATTTGTTTTGTTCCCCAATATATTAGTTTTAATTGCATAACAAAATTTGAACTATATTTTCAAAAAATTATTTAGGCATGTTCCAATTAGGCACAGCAGATGGCATCATTGCCTTTTATTTAGGAACATTAAAATTAAACTAAAGCTCTAGTCCTAAACTCCCTATTGCACTATACAATGTGCATCCATGTCCTTTCTATCTCAATGATTAATGTATAAAATGTTCACATTTTCGAAGAATTCCATAAACTCAAGATTAAAGAATGTGTTACCTCTCTTCTTATTGCTTACCATTAACTGTATTAAACCAAGATACTTATGGTTCAACAAACTATAATTTTAACAATCCAGACTTAGAACTGGGTTGAGTCACACTTGTATTTCTCTCACCATCATGTGAGAAATTTGCACATGACCATCATGAAGAAAATACAAAATCCAATTTATGGATTCAAAATAGATTCCTACTATCCATTGGCAGTGAACTCTTCTGCCTCATCATCCTCTGTTGAATTGAATAATAGCCACAGTAGATAAAATATTTTATTCAGTTATCATCAAGGAATTCTGGATTCATAGTATTACCATATTGAAAGATATCATTCTCCCCTTGCTTCTGGCAACTTAAGATAATCAGTTTAAACTTTTCTAATGGGAACTACAAGCAATTAAAGCTGTATTAAATTAAAACTGATGGAAATGGTTAGGTTTACAGAAGTGTGGGTAAGGGAGATACATACCTGCAAGGGATTCTTGTGCAATTAAATACATATTAATTTAGCTGATTATTTTAGGCAACTAATAAATTGTAAAAATCTGTGCTGGATTTAGTTCAACATATCTTGGCAAAAGTAGACTACTATGGAATAAAAAGTGCTTCTAGCTAAATAATTAGAGTTCGGCTTTCATTAATTTGCCAATCTGCATCAAAAGTTCCTAGCTATCAAAATCTCCCTAAATTGTAAAATACAAAAAAAGACATTGTAAAATTCCTTAATATTATCAAACGAGCTTCAAATGTTGACCTTCAGCTACTCATGGATTACTTATCTGATTAATACAAAATAAGCCAAAAAAGAACCTGCACAAAATCTGCACTTCAGTACCTTTTAGCAACATTTAGGACATTGCTAGAAAACCTGATGTCCTTCAGATGCTTTGGACTATAGTGTGAGACTCCCTTAAGATTGGCAGCACTGGGATTGGTTGATGAAACCTGTACTTGGGATATAGTGAGACTCACTTTCTGTCTCTTAGGATCTCCATACAGTTAGTTTTCAGGTTATCACCAATCATTCAACGACTATTCAAAGTTACAATGGCATTGAATGAATGGTACTTATGACAGGTCCTCATAGTTCCAGCCAGTGCACTGTACCTGCAGTCATATGATCACAATTCCCAACGTTCCCTGCTGGCTTCCTACAAGCAAAGTCAATGAGGAACCCTGCAGGAAATCAGAAGTCACAATCATGTGAGGTTCTTGCTTAAATGAGCCACATGGTTCTCACTTACTGGTAGTAACTGGCACTGCCAGAACTAAGCAATGTATAATGTTGTACTTTATGGCCATATTGCTTAGCGATAGCAATTCTGGTACCAATTTCAATTGTAAACAAGAACTAACTATAATGCCTTTTTAATTTTTAATTCTGGTCTATGACTGTAGTAAAAGATTGATGTCTATAATACTTCATCCAAAACTCTAGCAGTATCTTGATGATTTCACTATTCGCATAGCTGTCTTCAATAAGCAAGTTTCCTCTGAGCTACCAAAATCTTTCTGAAAATACTTTGCTGGGAATACCTTTTTTCATAGCACCTGCATTTTGGAAACTTTACTGTAGTAATGTTGCTAAACTTCATTTATAATTTCACTGCTTATTTTCTCCTTATTTTTGCCTCCAATTATAATTTATTTCCAATGAATTGGTGTCAATATCATCGCTGCCTTTAAAATGGGGTTTCATTGATCACATTGTATGGAATCAGCAAAAACAACTACCTTTGTATTGCTGGGTATACGACTTTGAAAGCAATTTTAAAGGAAAAGACAATCCAGGTACATTTACCACAGAAAACATGCTATACTTACTTCTGTACGACAGTCTGTAAACTCAGCATCATTCCCAGTTCACTTTTCATCTTTTCTCTATTGGCCCGACATTCCGCCAAATAACGTAGAGCCTATTAGAAACAAATGGATCAAAGAACAAACCACAACAAAAGACATTCTCAGCATTTGCTTTCACACCTCTCAACAATGCATTGAAGTAATTCAGAAGATTAGGAAATATGTTATTTGATGCTTACAACATAAAGCTAAAATATTGTTTATTTATTTATTCATCATGTTTCTCTATCGCCCATCTCACCTAGGTTAGCATATATGTGCCAGGTAATTATTAAAAATAATGTTTGTCTCTCTATAAAATAAAAACAGACAATTCTGATATGTTCAATTTCACATTTTTTTCAAGTTTGGCTACCCTTGGGATTTTAATAAACTCATGGACATTCCACCTAATGTATGCAGTTAGGTATACAATCTCTATTTGGGAAACTACTTATTAAAAATAATTGCATTTTGATTTGCATATTCTAAAAGCACAAATTAGGCAAATGCAATAATGAAATGAAAAGAGACTTGGAGGCTAAATCCTATGAAACTGGTTAAAAGAACATGGCTCTTGAAGCCTAGGCTAAAGAAAAGAAAGCTAAAGGAAAGTGATAGCAATCTTCCAATATTTGAAAGAATGTCACAGGGCAGAGTATGTGGATTACTCTAGCCAAGAGTAGCACAAGAACCAATGGGTGGAAGCTTTATTGTCTGAAAGCCATTCAGCAAAGGAACAGTCTGCTTCCTGAAGTTGTGGGTGCTCCATCATTGGAGGCTTTCAAAAAAGAGTGGAAAAAAGATTGTCTGGAAAGGATCCTTCCAATTTCTGATTAACTTCAGCCTTGGTTTCCCCAACCATATCAATATATACAAATTATAATCACTTCCCTTGCAAAACCAACTGATGTGTATGTTCCTTACCTAGGAGTCTGTCTGCTTAGTGACACTTGATATCACTTAATAACTGCAATCCAGAATGCCTGGATTATGGTCACTGAGCAAAGCAGTCATATGATGTCTCACTTAACAACCATTACAACTCAACAATAGAGATTCCGGTCCCAATTCTGGTCATAATTCAAGGATTACCTATAGTCCATAAATCCTCCAAGATTCTCAATACCCTAGCCAGCCTTGAAACTAGATTTCAATAGATGTAAATCATAAGGTCTGTATTTTTTTTGCTACTAAAGTAGCATTTTCAGTTGTTAAGAACCTGTTTACAAGAGCTGAAAAAATAATGCCACAGATCAGAAGAGAAGATCCTATGGTAAATATTATACTTATTTTATCAACTAGTAATTAGCTTATTAAGAGTCAGTTTGCAGTAGTGGTTAAGGCACGAAGCTAGATATTGGGAGATGATGAGTTCTAGTCCTGCATTAAGTATGAAGTAATAAATAAGATTTTATCCTGTGTGGAAATGGATAGGTTGACATTAGAACTTAAGGATAAGAGTGAAACAGATTATTATGAAATCTAGAATAAATTGTACAATTGGTTGGGGAAAAATAGATGGAAAAACTCTCTGATTCATATTGAAAATATTAAATGAAAATTTAGAATATAGATGATGGGACCCACCAGAGAGAATATTTAAGAGAAAATGAGAAATTTGTTGGAATACATGGATTACGAATTATAGAAATCAATTGTTAACAATCTTTCCTTACAAATGTAAACTAAGCAAACACACTGGTAACCGACTATTATGTGATTTATGTTTTAAAAACCAATAAAATTTATAAATAAAAAAAATAAAAACTAAAAAAAATTAAAAAAGCATGAAGTCAACTGGGTGACTTTGGACCAGTGCCTTTCTTTCAATCCAAAGAAAGAGAAAGTAGCAAATCATTTCCAAATTCTTGCCAAGAAAACTGGGGGATTTCTCCAGGCAGTCACCAAGAATCAACAAAGAATCAAGAATCAACAAAGATTTGAAGGCACAAAAAAAGTTAGCTTACTGAATATAGTTAGACTTTTCTTCTTTTTCAATGCTAATTTTAATTTTTTTCCTAGACTCTTAAAGCAATCACTGGTATTTGAAAATCCCAAGAAAACAAGAATTTGAAAGAGTGTAGTGATTTTTTTTCTTACTATAAAGAATGATTGATAAGTGTAAATAGAACTACGTATCACTTCCCACAACAGAGGAAAAAGAAAAAAAATGGATTTGGTTAAGATGACAATCTAAACTGTGTAAACAAAGATTTTATTTGGTCTTGTTTCTATTGGGATACTGCTTTTGATTATTTATGCTTGAAATAGAAAAATGAAATTTAGAATTTAATTTGAAGAATACCTAATTGTAGAACTGACTTATAATAATAGGTAATGTAAAAGATGAAGTTTCAACTATGTTAGTATTTTTCCTTCTCTTTTTTTAAAAAAAATCCTGCATATTTCCTCCCCCCCCCCCGCTTTTTTTTATTTTGCTTAATCTTTATTTTCATTACACCTTATGTTACATACACCTCAATAAAACATTTGGAAACAAAATCCCAAGAAAGGGAGTAAGTAACCTTGGACAAAGTATTGAAACTTCTGAACTTGCCAGTTTAATTTGTTGATACTAGTTTCATACTGACTTTTATTCTTCATGAACAGTATATCAAAACAACATGATTAAACTGCAGTTATTTTCTTTTGCCTTCAAAGATAATCAGGCCTTACATTTAAGTTCAAAGCAATACCTAAAATATATAGACAATCTGGAGCTGTCAGGAGCAAGCTCTTTCTCTAAAGAGATTTAAAACTTCGAGTGTTATTGAAAGAAATGACCAAACTGTGTTAACACACACCATTTGGTAGTTGCATTTGCTATGAATTAAGTAGGCCATTTGTTATATTTTAGATACAAATCTATGTATTTTAAATAGCAGAGTGCCCCTCATCTTGTTCAGGGATTATTATACTATAATTCGTCTTGAGAATAATTTATGTACATATACACTCAGCATACCGTTTCTTTCTGGAACGAACAACATTACACAAAGTGCAGAAAACATGGTGCTATAGATTAAAAATAAATACTAAAAAAATCTAGACGCACACTGATCTGAACAATAAATAAATAGCCAACATGCAATACAGAAATTAGATTTCTGATATGGGCCCTAGCGCATTGGATTTTATGCTTGCAAGCTTCATTATATTATGCATCCATATTTTTCAAGGGACAAAGTCTCTTTATTTTTATAAAACACATGAAGCCTACTTGTAGACCCCTGCATAGAGTAGTAGACAGCATCTGGTCAGAATTTCTGAGCAGAGAAACATGCAAGAAAATGAACAGATTGTAGGAAATGCCCAAAACATGTACCACAATGTACATCTATTCTGGCAAAATGTGAAGGTTAGCCATCACACAAGTCTATAAATACCACAACATCTCCTTGAATAAAATGGATGTCCTACAAACTTCCAAGACAAGACAGAACAATTAAAGTTCATATGATAATGAATTAAATAACTTTAGCTGCAAAATGCTGAGCAAATACAGGTTTCCAAATGTTACTTTGCCTTGTAAAAAAAACTTTGTTGCTTTAATTACATAACACTAAGCAGATAAGATTTGTTTTATAGCTATCACTATAACCATATAGGTCAGTGGTGGCGAATCTATGGCACGCGTGCCAGAGGCAGCACTCGGAGCCCTCTCTGTGGGCACGTACGCCATTGCCCCAGCCCCGCCTTCTCCCGCAGCCCCCTCCTCACCAGCAGCCCCCCTGAGGAGAGTCTCCCCCAGGCACGGCCCACAGAGCAGCGCAGCCAAGGACATGGCAGCCAGGCAGCAGAGACAAGACTCCGCCCTTGCACTCCATTGCGTGCAGATGATGCTGCGGGGTGAGGGCATAGGGCATGGCTGCTATGGCACTGCAAGGCCGCCTGGGCGATCTGCTGCAGCCGGCCATGGAGGGGGTGAGTGGCCCTGCAGGTGGGCGGGGCAGGGGCAGAGGACGGTTCTTGGGCACTCGGTCTCTAAAAGGTTTGCCATCACTGATACAATTGAGCTCTAAGATGAGCTCTAAACTATACTAAATGTGCTATAATTTTTCCCATCATTTTCATTTCAGCTATCTTTCTATGTCTCAGTGGGATAAAGGATTTAACTTGCTCTACTCAGGATTTTGCAACACATCCAGAGAACCCAAATTCAAGCAATTTTTCTCATGTGTAGTCACAGTACCTGAATGAAATCATGGAAACGCATGATAGCAAATATGCATTTAGGTTCTTACATTTTAGATTCCATAGCTTCCCGAAACCCTTAATGCTATAAGATGAGCTATCCAAAAATACTTACAAGTAACGCTGAATGGACAACTGGTGGGTTGGGATGATCCAAAAATAATATAAGGCCTGGTAGACATCCCTGATCCTGGACAATTGCTCTTCTATTCAGAGGATCAGCTGCCAGATCTCTTAGTTGGTTTACTACGCTGAGTGCATCAGGCTCCACATTCATTGAGGTATTCATTTTTCCTTGTCATACGTAAGATTCTACTACAAAGAAAGTTGTTATTAATAACTATAGTGATATGAAGTAATTTCATAACTTCTAAAACAAAAATGCATGCTATGTTTTAACACAATTTGATATAATTCATTCTTTAGGAAGGAAGACTGTACTGTTTAGATCGTGATGAAAAAAACAAGCTGTGAGATTTTAAAATTATGAAGTCCTATATCAGAATGCACAGGACTATATAAACACCATAACAAGATTAATGTATGCAGAAAATAAATCTTGTAGTTTTTTATTTGTTAACATCATATAAACACAGAAAGTAAATTTTGAATATTTATTAGATATATGCTAACCACTTGTGGATTGATTTTTTTTCTCAAAGGCTAAACATGGCTAAAATTATCCATTATGTAATTGGTATATTATTTGTAATACATAATAAAGTAGGCTTAATTTAATCACAGCTTGGAGCAATTTTGAAATAAATAAAAAGCTAGAAAAACAATCAGTATATTACACTCCCACAAATACTGGAATTTTTGGAGGATTCTTACAAGTTCCACAGTTAATTCCCTAGATAATGGCAATCAACATTCCCAGAAATGTTTTAGTTTAGATCAGGCATGTCAAACTGCCAGCTTGCAGGCCGGATGCGTCACACCGAAACAGCGCCCACCCCATTGCTGGCAATAGGGAAAAAGTCATGATACATTGCGCGACGTCACATGACGTCGCGAGTTTGACATGCCTGGTTTAGATGCAGGGTCATGTGATCACCTTTTGCTAACGTCTGACAAGCAAAATCAATACGGAAGTCAGATTCACTTAACAACCATGTTACTAACTTAACTGCATGATTCACTTAACAACTGTGGCATGAAAGGTCATAAAATGGGGCAAAACTCACTTAACTGTCTCGCTCAGCAACAGAAATTTTATGCTCAGTTGTGGTCATAGGTTGAGGACTATCTGCAGAATAAGCACTCTCTAAATGGGAAGTGACTATCCCCATTTGAGTAGGCCGAACTTCTTATTCAGAAATTCCACACCAAAACAAATTGAAAGAGTGCCAAGCAGGTGAAGAATTTGAAATCACTGAACGAAAATATGGATGTATTCCTCTATTTAAACCACACTACCACACTACCTAATATTTTACAGCAGATTTTTAATTAAACGGAGCTACTGTTGCAACACAGCACTTTCCCTATATATGATGCATTGCAATGCTGGTACAAGGAAACATCACAATAAGCTGCTTTGGGAATCTATACATTGCCATGAAAGTTACTTGGCAAACTTGTACTTAGGATCAGACCTAAGAAATATTATTTAAATGTGCTGTTTATATAATAACATATGAGCAAATTGTGTTTAGTGCTACACAAATATCATAGAAGTACTCAACAGCTTCTTGCTATAACTAAATTCAAAGCCAAGTAATCTGTTCACACAAACATTAGAAAGAAGTTTCATTTAAAAATTTACAGATGTCTGATGAATCCCTAGTGGTTAAACTACAGAAATCCCACTATGTAAAATAGGATTTTCAAGAAAGCATGTGTAAGACTGGCATCTGAAATACTGTTCTATGGATACTTAATTGGAAGTCGAGCAATTTTACTACTAGCACTTCCAAACACACAATTACAGTCTTCAGATAAAATCCGACTCCAAAGTCCAAACATATTTATCCACAAGTAGCCTGCGACTTACTTCTAGGAATACATATTCCAATTAGGACATTGAACTTTACAGCTTTTCTTTTGCTTTTCATGCTTACAAGTCAATAACTCAACTCGACTCCTGGCAGCTGCCTGGCCTGGTCCTTGCACTTTCTTGTAGCGCAGCTCTCGTACCGGGATCACATAGTATCAATGAAATCACTACACTGGTTTTAAGGAAGGTAAATAAGATTGCAACCTCACTCATAAAAAAAAAACCTAATTACCCGATCTGGGTTTCCGTTCGAACATAATAAGATTGAGTTGAGCTGTAATGCTAAACCTAACTAGGAACCAACTGCCACCGAGCTTCAGACTAAATCGAGCGCCAGTACAAGTGATTGCAAATCCTTAGTCTTGGACAGAATAATTTGGAGATCTAAAAGAACTCCAGGGATCGAAGAAGTAGCAGCGTTCATGATCTTTGCCTTGCGTTCTTTCCCGTCCGCCTTTAATCCACTCCCATCTCAATTCCCCGTCTTTTTCCTGCCCCTCCGGCCCCATTCCCAGGTCCAGGGATCCCCATTACCGCCCTCACTTTCATTGGACGCAGAAGGGGAGGCGCTTTGCTACTCCCGCCCCACGGAGGAAGGTCCACTCCAAGTCACGTAACGGCTAACGCCGCTGTTGCTGCCTTCGCATACCGGGAGACCCTGGCAGAGAAGCCGCTTGAAACTTCCGAGCGCCCGGCGAAGGTCAGCTGAACTGGAATCACCGGCCCGCCAAGGGAGCATTCACCCAGCAAGGCGGGCGACCGCCGCTCTCCGGCACCCCTGCAATCCCCGAGACGTGATTGGCTGCAACCGAAGGCGTCTCCTCTCCATTCGTGGTTCGCCTTATTATGACCCTCCTCCGATTGGCTTATTCCGGGTCAGGAGTTCTGAGGCATTGTGGGTTAGAATGAAATCAATTTTAGGAGGCATTTCAACAACTACAACTCCCAAGAAGCTCGGTTCAGTTTCTGATGGTTACAATTTACGTTTGTTCTTTGCAGGAGGAATGAGTAAACAGTCTGCCTTGGAACGTTTCGCTGACATTTGCTTGCTCGTGGACTCCTGTAGTGAGGCTTATTCGAAGGCAAGGGGGAAGGCATTTCCCCCCGAGTTTAGTGGCTCCTAACTGTTTTAGCCAAATAATCTGTTAATTTTTTGCTATCATAGATAGTAAGAATATATAAGTGTATAGGTGTAACTATACCTTTAAAGTAGACACATTCATTTGGTCTTTAGAAAAGGCATGGATGTGGTTAAGGCTTCAATCCCGCACACATCTAATTGGGAACAGTCCTTTTTAAAAAATCAGTATTTTAAGCTATACATGAACATCTACAGTGTTGTTTGCAGTAGTAGCAATGACTTTTTTATTTTATTCTTAACCTGTTGGTATGCTGTTTGGGGTTGAGGGTGCTTATCACATCTGTAGTTCAAGGTTCTAATAGTTAACTTTTGGTTTGCTACAGGTTGAACTACAGTTCTCATCAGACTCAATTAATGCACCTAATAGTCAGGAATCACAGTAATGAATTTGGGGAGCTGTAATTTTGCAACCCTGAATAATACTAAGACTTTTAAGTTTCGATAAGTTGGTTTTACTCTATATAAGTTGGTTTTACTCTATTTTGTGTAGTACAACAAACAACTAGACTTGCAAAATAAAGGTATTTGGATTTAAATATGTTGAATGTGTTCCCCTTTTGTTTTAAGGGTTCTCCACTAATATTTGAGAGAACAGCAGTAAGATAGATGGACTCTGTTAGAATGGCGATGATGTACCGTTGGAAGACCCGAAGGACCAACTTAGGGACAGATCATCATGGAGAAAACTTGTGGCTGCTAAGAGTTGATAATAATGTGATGGCATGTCAATCAATTAAGAACTAGTGCCAAAATATATCGCACTACAGGACAAAGCAAAGTACCCCCTTTACGCAAACTTAGGTATTTTGTTACAGCAAGACAGCACGAGATGGCGCTGCTATCCTTTGATACTAAAGAGCAAAACTTTCCAAGCCTTTGTCGCAAATACTTATCCAAAACATTAGGCGGGGTTTGAACTTTCTGAAACCATCGAGATGAGAAAGGAGGCCTTTGGAGCGGATGTCACTCTAAAGATCATAGAGTCCGCGGGTTTCTATCCTGCCTCGATGATGATATCGTCGACGGTACATCCCGTCATCTGGCCGGGCTGCAAGACTAAGCCTCGCCTCCCTAACCGGCGGACAGCGATTGGCCAGGCCTACTGCCGGCGCTCCGCAGGATTGGTTGCTGCGGGAGACAGACGAAGAGTCGAGGGATTGCTGGCCGGCGGCGACTCCGCGGCTCCGGGAGAGTCCGAGCGAGGGAATAATACTGTACCGGTCAGACGAGCAGGTGAGTTCCTTCCATCTGCCTCAGGGCCTCGATTTGTTGTCGCAGTTCAACCCTGTCGCGAAGTTTCGGGTGTGGGACGAAGGGCGTCCGGTCAGATCGGGGCCGAGAGAGAATCTGCCGGTCGTGAGTCAAGGACACGCGCTGTTAACCGCCGACGGTCTCGTCCGAGGTTGCCGGGCGCCGCTTTTTGTCTTCCCCAGTCGCGGGGCGGGAAAAGAGCCGTGCCTTCCCGGCCACAACTGCTTTGGCTCTTCCGCCGTGTAGCCGGCGACTCCTGGTTCTTTCCCTGCGCGCCCCCGTCTTCCCCGCCCGTCAAGGGGCAGACCCGGGTGGGAGCGTGTTCGGCAGGGGCGGAAGAGTCCGCGCAGGAGGACAGTTTTGTGTCGTTATGTCTCCGGGAGGATCTGATTTTTTACGTAGGCCTAATCCTGGTGGTTCTCAAATTACTGCTTATGCGCCCTTTCTAAGCTCCTCGAATCGTAAAGGTTTTTTTTTTTTTCCTGCGAGGCCCCGTGGCTAATCTTAGAAATTTCATCTGGTTTACATTCTTTTGATTGTCTTCTCCCTTCTCTTTTCGGGTGCTCCGGAAAAGGCAGTTACTTTTACAGTTACTCCTACTACATCTAAATCAGTGTTTCTCAACCTTGACAATTTTAAGGCATGTGGACTTCAACTCCCAGAATTCCACAGCCAGCAATGCTGATCTAAATAGAATTTGCCTGACTACGTCTGTTGCTTCTAATAGTGCCGGATTTTCCTCCTCTTCCTTGTTTGTTACTTTGGACACCAAAAAAATAATAATCGAGTAATGTAGAAAAGACGGCGCTGTCTTGTGAGCGATAGGCTTAAGACCTGTCTGGTTCAAAATAAATAACTCAGTAAGCCCATCTAGGCTTTGCCTCTAACACTTAATCGAAAATTCAAAGTGGGGTACACAGCATCTGTGATCTACAATAGGATTCCTGCACAGTCAAAGAGATTCTCTCCCTCAAAAAGATCTAAAAATCCTTGCTATATAGTTAACATACCACTCACCCACTTCTTTAACTCATCACCCACTGCAGTCTTTGCTTCCTTTTCTCCCAGAAAAACTAAAAATTTTCTCATCTCTGACATTAGCTATGTCTGTTATGTTACTTTTATTGTTAGAAAATGTGTTTATGATCTGACATCCATAGTCAAAATGCTTCAGAACGTTGTGGTTAAATATATTGAAGTATATTTTGAAAACAACATTAAAAATATGTTTGCAAAATTGTGTTGTTGCATCCAACAATATTGTGAGAAATAGGATCATGATACGTAGATCTCATTTAGTGACAATTGGGACCGCCATCTTAGTCATTAAGAGAAGTCACTAAGTAAAACCATGACTCTGCTTATGATCTTACTTCAGCTTTCCTTTGCTTTCCAGACCTGAAATGTTATAAATATGATTGGTCACAGAGTTCCTTTTTCACCATGGTAACTATGAATAGTTAGTAAATAAGGCAGTCACTAAACAAGGACTTCCTGTAATCTCTGTAATCACAATATTTGATTTTTGCAGTTAAATGGATGCAATAGGAAATGATATGAAATAACTGACATCACACAAAACTATTCTGAATCTGAATTTACAGCTGAACTAAGCTAGACAGAAAATAATCTGACTTGGCAGAATACAGCTTTTTATGTTACAGTACTGATACTCGCTCTTCACAGATATAATTGTATTTGTTGTGGGAACGAATATGTTCTCCCATAAATTAAAAATATAGAGTTGCAACGAGTAGCAACCATGTGTGCAAAACCAGTAATTTTGTATAGTTAATTATTATAAGCTCTGGCTCATTCATTTATTTGATTCTACCACAATTAAATTACTTCAAAGACAAATAGAAAGTTACCAAGGAATGATCATGCACTCATAGTATATAGATATGACAAAAAGGTGTGAAGGCTATATTAGACATTTTGTTAGCAATGTGTAAAGTACCTTGTGCTAATAATAGATTCATTAAGTATGTATAACTAAGCTTGGTATAAGTTAATAAAATTTATATACAATATAAACCAAAATAATAAATTCATTTTATAATAGAACATAGTAAATATAAACAATTCCTAATGGACGCAATTACATTAGTGATGAGTACACCATTGGAAAACTTGAAAAACTAGATTAGGGAAAGGCCATTGTGAAGAAAGTATTATTTGTTTAGAGTTGACATCAAGTAGTTGACACACAGTTACCAGTCAGTACAACTTTAGTATAAATTGACAGAGAATATTTTTCTGACTTCATAAAGGTCCTATGAAAAGAAGCATTCTAATAGCCTCCTTAAAGTTCAAAATATTGAACTCTAAATGTAGGAGCTAAATGGAAAAATGTCTTAAAATTTAGGATGCATTATTAATTTATTATTAATGAATTTGATAGGTCAACATTTTACTAATTTATTTGATCCTATACTTGTAAACATGCTTTCACACATCTGGATTTTCTATCAAAAAACCAAATAATATCTACTCTAAATGTTATGTCTTTAGCACAAAAAAACTCTATTTGATTGTCTGGTTCAATTTGATTTTATAACTAGAGTCCCAGAACACACACAAACAAACTCACACATGCAGAGTAAAAATTAGAAATAAAAAAATAATATAGCAGCCAAAGCAGAATAGCTACACTGATTGCCCTTGATCTTGTCAGTGTTAAACATTACTGAACAAATCACATTTGTTTATTTTATTCTCTATGTAGGAGTAGTACATTACTTTTCTTACATAGCTTGGTTCAATTTGTTACAAAATAATTATACAAAATAATACATTTTAGCAAAAGCAATGTAGGTTTTGTTTTAATCTTAGAATGTATAAATCTAAAAGAAGCTCTAAGAGATTATGTGGGCAAATGGGGTGTTTTGTGACAGATTGTGCTATGAATACTCATATTAATGGAGAATTGCAAATGTGTACAGGTAGTCCTCAACTTACAACCACAACTACAAAATTTACTATGTTGCTACATTTAATTTTGAGAATGGGATAACCTGTTCTTTTTTGTCTGGATCAGCTAGGAGCTTCCAATTATTAGCTCTTAGAAGAGCCAACATGGGTATTAAAGTTAACGTGTTGAAGTATTATAGAAAGTCCTCAGCTATGGATGCTTATTGGATGATGATTTGGGGTTAGTCATTCTCATTCCATTACAGACTTGCTGTTATGAGAAAGAAGTTGGAAGAGAAAGTGCTATGTAAAGTGCTTTGAGCTCCAGGAACAAAGATAAATCTAGCTAATGTCAATACTCATTTTTAAGAACAAATACTATATTTTTATTTCAGGTTAAAAGAATATTTTTAAAATGTCAACTGTGAAATATATGTCATGAAGTGAACTGCTATTCCCAGGTGAGAAATTGACAACTGAACAGCCACAAGTTAGCTTCTAAAACCTGCTATAAGTAATAAAGCCTAAAACTAGAAACTGCCTTTCCAAATGAATCTATTTTCCTCTGCTAAAAGAAACTAGCCATCAACTAAAACAACTCTATAATCAGAATGCAATATTTTGTGATAGCAGTTTTGCAGTTTTGCTTGAATTTCATTTCCTTTTCTTCAATTGCATTTTTCCTTTACAAAGCTCAGAAATTTGATTACTTTCCAAAATAATCGTAACTATGTTCACTTGACTAAATTGTTCTTATTCAAAACTATATATTATTATTGGTTGCACATTCTGGCAGATGTTTAGTCTGGATTTGGTATTTTTATCCACCTATTGAATCCTTTCCAAGGACCTGGGATAGATGTTTCATGGTGTTAGATACTGCCACACTCACCATACAGATGTTTTTATATTATAATTTGCCCAAAGTATACTAAATGTTTTAATGCAGTATGCTTTCAAAATTATATTTGTTAAAATCATTCTCAGGTATCATATGGCATTTATTGTTGGTCTTTATAATTGCTTCAGTTGCTGGTACCAAAACTCAGGCCCTACAGACAATTTATTATATAAATTACATTAAATAATTGAATTGGTTACCGTTTTCATACTCATTTGAAATGTGATCTTTGAACATTCCTATGGTAAGTACGATAACATTTTATCTGAAAAAAATAATAAAATATATTGTGATTGGTCTATGGGTATACCCTGTATAACTTTAAATGTATGCTTTTTTATACAATTGGTTCTTGCTTCTGTTGTTGCTGTTTTCCTTCTAACCTTTTTTCATCCTTTGAATATTAGAATACAACTTTGTAATATTTAATTAAAGGTGGTGTATAATTAAAACTACCACTTACATACTTTTGGTGAAAAATCCTAGAACTCTAGATGTTGTTATATTTATTTTGAGATGAATTCTCACATTGAAACAGTTGCATATTCTGCTTAAATATTTTTTTTCTCTCCAGGATGACTATGGAGCTTCTACCTTCTAGCAAGCTGAGGTTGTCAACTTACAAATTACTGAAGACTTTACCTTATTCTAGATGATCTGCTGGATTAAGCATCTATTTAGAGTGATATTTATGCAAGCTGGGTTAACTATGGAATCAGTAAGTATATCATTACAGTGACATATCTGCAAAAACTGAAAGTCTGAATAATGTATAGGGAATGACATGCATAAATGCCAATTATATTAAAAGGACATAATCACAGTGTAATATTTAAATATAACTGAATTTGTGGAATATAAATATACATAAAGTTCTCTGGAATAGTTCATTTCAGTAGTTCATTACATCATAAAACATAATAAAAATAATGTTGGTTAAGAGAGATATTGTGAGCCCATTCAAATTTTGTTGGACTGAGTATTGTGCCATTTTATCCAATTTATATTGCTGCCCATGCACTTGCATGACTCTGGGCACTGTACAATAAAATAAATCTTAAGTTGTAAATCTGTTTTCTGAATATACAGGTTTACAATGCAATTTGATACATGTTTACACAAAAATAGTTTTCCTGGATTTATTTAATTGTAAGTAAAACTTCAAAGTAAAGTAACATTGACACAGGCATTTTTTTTTTTTACTTTCAGCTGCTTTGGTCAAATAAATCTTATGGTCCAAGCAGAAGTATTGTAAGAAAAATTGGCTCCAACCTTTCTCTGATACAATGCCCAAGGGTTCAATTTCAGGTAAGATGTTTACTTGTTTGCTTTGATTTGCAAAACTGCTAAGACCTAAACATCTGGGTCTGTAGTATCTGGGGATATAAGTTATTTCTGTCAGTTTGGAACCAAAAATAGGGATATCCCCAAATTAAATTATTTCCTTAAGCAAAAAAAGTAGTTACATTAATTTTAAAGGTTAAAATTTAATTAAATGAAAATGACATGGATTTATAAATTGGATGTATTGATTCTGAAGTCTTCATTGGTTAGAGTAGAAAATAATTCAAATATCTAATGAAACTCAATGTCAACATATTTAAAAGTAGGTGAAAAAATGGTAGTATTTTCTGATTTAAAAAAATAGTCCCTTCAAAATAAAAATTTTTGTAAAATAATTTTGTAATTATATTGAAAATAGCAAACTGAATACCATTGATCAGACAAAGGTCAAATTCAGCATATTTTTAATTTTAGATTTATTTTCTGATGGCAGTGCCATATATTTTAAATAGAACTTCCTTTTCAGTACTAAGTAATGAGTTCTGAAAGACTTTTCAGTAGTTGTGATTTATAGTAAAACTAACGGATATATTTGAAAGTTGGAAGGAGAACATATTTTTAGGAAAATTGGTCATGATTTATTTATTTCTATTGCACTCAAATGTCAATAACATTGAATTTTATAGAACTCTTGTGACTTAACAGTTCTTGAGTGGAAAAGGCATTCAAGGATAAAATCATATTTACACATAACAAATTCAACAGCTTAGAAACATTTTGTATCATATGTGAATATCATGTCCTTTTTTCTAGAATAAAAAATATTTCTTCTCTTATTATTTATCTGTAGATACATTTATTTTATGATATTACTGGTCTAAGCTGTCAGTGACTTCCAAATATTTTTGATAAATCCTCGGCAGAAATTGATTCAAAAATATTGCTTATGGAATAAAAGAATAAGAAATAATGTCTTATATCTTAATCAATACTTTTCTCTGGAACATTCACCAAAGAGAAATGCCAATGTTAAGAGATCCTCACTCTGTTATTTTACATGCTTTAGCTATCTGAAGGCTCAATATAATGTTCGCAGCAGCAGCAGCAAAAGGCAGATTGTTGTTTACAAAGCTCTAATGCAGAGATAGGAAAGAGTTTAGTGGGCACAAATTCAGTTTAAAACCAAGCCCAAGAGAATAGGAAAATATAAGTGTGTTCTTGAGTTGTCACATGCTTGATGTTTAAAATAGTTATTAGACTAAAAAGATTCTGTGTCCCTGATCCTTGCTGAAAAATACTATAGTTTTCTGAATGGTGGCAGAATAAACTCTGCTGTTTTTTTTTTTAAATAAACCTAATAATATCACAGCTGTCTTCCTGCTTTCTTGAAACTTTTCTATACTATTCTCTCTTTCCTTTGTCTTCCTTTCTTGCTCTCTAGCTATTATATCGCAGGATCGTGCACTGAGCCTACTGTAAGTCAGTCTTTTCTTTTTTCACTAAAGTTCACTTTAACTATTGGTATTTACTTACATGTAAATCTGATTGTTAAGAATCTTAATTAATTTCTGTATTCCTTATTTTCTTGTGCATAGAGAATGAGCTAAATATCTTTAATGGCAGTGACAATTGTTTTGTCATTTTTGGAAGCCTAACAGCAAAATATTGCTGAAAAATTAAACTTTTCTTCAAGACAAACATACTTAGGATTACTACTTTAATAGGGCATATGCGACTTAATTAGTATAGTTAATCAGATATTTTAAATGTGGGTAGGAAATTTAGATACTTATTTTGGTGCCCCAGGTTTAATCTTTTCACAAAGCTTAGGTTTAGTTGCCTATCTAGTTTAAGGTCTGACAAAAGGCAAATTTGAGTTTGTCCTATGGCACATCTCCAAAAAAGCATGTGAAGTCTAAAATAGTAAACAAGCAAGAAATTATAACCCACTTAAAATACTTGCATATATAAAAGTTCTAGTTTCACATGACCATGAAATAATCTCTGAATAAAGTGTTAAACTATTAAAATACATGGTTGTATGCTTTTCTTCCTTTTTGGAAATTATGTCACAATGATCCAATATTAGCCAGAGTAGTCACAGTGATAACACTCTCATTGAACACTGTAGAATAGCAAACATAGGCTTGATTTTCAATAAAGATAACCTTACAGTATTGAGAATTTTAACTTCAGCCATTTCTAGAAAGTGGTTCTTACCCTTTAAATACTTTTGATGCCTCCTTACCTGGGCTGACAAATCCGGAAACAGATACATTAAACTAACGCCTATTAACACATTAATAAGGATTTGGATTTTCTTTCTCTGAAACGCCTATTAACACATTAATAAGGATTTGGATTTTCTTTCTCTCTCATCCAAATATTATGTAATATGTATGAGAAATAGTTTGAAATTAATCAGATTATTCACCTATGTAACTTTATTAGTATATGTAAATTTCCTAACCTGCAGCTAGGCATTTGCTATGTAATACCCAATTTGTATGTCATATCATTAGGAAACAACAATGGAAATACTAATGCTGTGGACATTCCTTAGATTTCTTAGATTGGATCATACTACTAAGTTTGAAACCTTGCCCAAATGGAAAAAAAACCACTAGCGTTTTAACTCTTGTATTAACTTGTTCTCCCTCTCATTTATTTATCTTATTCTCACTATGTATTTTAACTTCATGTTACCTTTATAGTGATGTTATACTGATCCAGGCCCAGGCAATTGCTCTAATATGTAACATTATCCAATCAATCTAGCTTACATCTCAGCCTACAGAAAACACTCAATCTCACCAACTAAAAGAAGATGCAGTAGTCTCCCTTGTAGATGTAGGGTGGGTTGCTGAAGAAGATGATGAAGGAGACAAAGTTTTTACACGGTTCCGGTATGTTTCTCAAAGCTTATCCTCTATTATTGGTTCTTTAAGCTTTGGTAGATAACCTGTTGACCAAGGCCAACTCTCAATTTCTATGAGAGTTACAGTTTGAAAATCAGGTTTTCTGATAACATGAAAACTGGCCAATATTATTGATCAAGGAAGAAAATCTTAACAAGCTTTAAGGATTCTTTTAAAAACATAATAAATATGTTTCATTATCTAGCTTTTGTGTTTATACAATAACTTTATGCTTATATAAGCATATATTTTTGTAGTATGTTCCTATTTCAGTACCAAAATATCTGGGTAGTAGACACAAATAGATGTCCAATATTATTTTAGTCAGAATGAGATATGAGAACGCAAGTGCAACTCTAGGAAAAGAAAAATAAATAGATTAGAGGTAGTCCTTGACTTACAACCACAATTAAGCCCAAAATTTCTGATGCTAAGCAAGACAGTGTTAAGTGAATTGTGCCCCATTTTATGACTCTTTTTGCCATGGGTGTTAAGCAAATCACCAGTTATTAAGTGAATCATGCAGTCATTAAGTGAATCCGGCTTCCCCATTGACTTTGCTTGTCAGAAGCTGCCTAGAAAGGCTGCAAATGACAATCCCGGATGCTGTGACCATTGTAAATACATGCCAGTTGCCAGCCCCCAAAGTTTGATCACGTGACTATTAAGAATGCTGCAATGGTCATAAAGTCACTTTTTTCAGTGCCATTATTACTTTGAATGGTCATTAAACAAATGGTTGTAAGTGGAAGACTTCTTGTATCTTTCCAGTTGTTTTCAACTGGTTTTGGCATAAAGATGACCTTTATTGCCTTTTTATACGTAAAAGGATGGGGAATACTATTCTATTGATACTCCAGCAATGACAACATGTGAATTTATGTGTTGGATAAATTTGTAATAATCTGGCTCTATCCAGAGAAGTTCACAACTAATATTAAAAATAACAAAGCAAAAGAAATATGAAAATGAAAGCACTGATAAAATACTATTTGATTTTCTCTTAGTTTGATTTAATTACTGTGAAGTAGGTTTATGTAAGGTCATGTACAGTGAAAGCCCTTGAAAGGAAAAAAAAAAGCCTTGACTCTGACAGCAGTTTTAGTACAAAAGGAAAAGTACTTACACAGGATCTTTAGGGGCTTTAGTAGTTGCTGAAGTTATGAAGGTAGAAGAAACCAGAGAACAGTAAGCAAAGCAAAATTATAAAAAGAAGTCTTATGGCATTTTAAGCATCTGAGTACAAGACATCTTTTAAAGCTCACATAGACCAAAGAAATTATAATACAATTTAGACATTAAAAAAAGCTGTTAAAATGTTATTAGACTAATGATATAGATGAATTTTTCTGCACTGTTTGCAGACATAATAATTGAAAAACAGTGGTTGTGTTTAATATCTAAACCATCTGTTCTTGAAAGCATTTTATTATTGAAATATAATTGATATTTTTCTAAATGTTATCAGATTTCTAACTTATCTGGGCTGAAGGCCAAGGAACAAAAATGAACGCTTTGCCTTCACCTTTCCAACAGAACAGAATATAGTTTAATGTTTACAGGAACTTCTAATCATTGTTTTAGCTTAAATACAAACATGGCAAAGACAGCATTCTACATTTGGAGAGAATAAGATATTTGGTTTAAGAGACAGAACTTTAACTTAACTACCTTCAATCAAGGGATTTATGTTATATGGTGAAAAAAACAAACTATTTTTTTGATTATAGATCAGAAGGCTGGTCAAAATCCCAACCATTCCTTAAAGATGAAGTCTGCTCAGGAAGAGACTCAAGTACTGAAGAATTGTTGCCCAAGAAATCACAAGAAATGGAAGACTCCAAAACTGCAGTAGCCACAAACAATGAAGCATTACAGAAAATAAATGCATTGGAAAATGAGCTTGCTAATTTAAGAGAACAAATAGCCAAAATTGTAAGCCTACAAGAACAAAATTTGGCAGCAGGTATTGTCATTTTCTCAGTACGTTTTAAGTGTTATGCCTATAGACAAAAAATACTATAAATTCAGGTGCAAATATCCTTGGTGTATAAATTATGACATTTAGAAAATTAGTTGCTATAGTCTTTCTCTATCTTGACATGAAAGATCTGGAATGGGATATTTCTGTATTATTACTCATCTGCACATATGATCTTGAACCTGCTTTCCACAACCTGTTGTTTTTCCTTTGTGGTAGATGATAGCACCCATGATTCTAAGCCAGCATACTTGGCTGTGATGAAAAGTGTAATCTGGTGCACTAGATAGAGTAATAGTAGTAATACTAGTAATAGGTTGGGCAAAGTTACATTGAACTCTTGTAGAAATCTGAGTCAAGATGTTCTTGGGATTTGTATTACAAACTTTTGGCAATAGTAAAGATTTTGACTGGAAATTCTTAAAATGAGACTTACTTGTGATTGTTCTTATACAGTATCTAAAAACAATTTTATGAAAGGTTCAGTTAACACACATATGATGATTAATTTTTTGCCCGCATTTCCAATTTTCCTTTTACCCAACAATGTAATGTATTTTCCTGAGAAACAGTATACAAACACTGTTTCCTTCTATAATTGCCGATTGGATAGCAGTAAGTTTAAAGTACTGGGGTTTTTTTAACCTATAAAACTATATATGCTTTGGCAGCAAGATACTTAAAGAACCACCTTTTCCAATATAGAAGTGATTTGATCAACTTGTTCATGATGAAATTCTCCCAGTATATTTTAATGGTCTACCATGCATAGGAAGTAAAAGGGACCAGAACTTATGGGCATTGGTTTTCGGTTTTCGCTTTTGAAATTAGGCTGGCACCCTCATTGGCCTTCAGTAACTTTTAAAAATAAAACTGTTCCTGAATAGTTATCATTTTCTTCATTGCTTTATGATGTTTGTGTTTTTAATGTTTTTATATTTAGTTAACATTCATACAGCTACCAATCTTAGCCCCTATAACCTAGGCAGCAAACAGGGATAGAAAACACAATAAACTATGTTTATCTGTAAACGAGAGTCATTTTTTTTTGTTCAGCACTATAGAAATGTAATAAATGTCACACACTAGAAAGCTGCTTCAATACTGGGGTCAGTATTTACAGCCAAGCTATGTATTCCCTTAAAAAAAAACTTCACCCTTTTCATTATATTTTGTGTTAAAATGGAAATTGTCAAGAACAAAGAGGGAATATAGTAGTGGTACATGGTAACAATCCAGTTCAATGCTGATTCTATTTGGTAAACACAATAATGGATACATTTTTTAAACAAAAAATTATTAAAGATATTTGCAACATGTTTAAATGTACATTTTTCTTACAGCTGGAATAAGTTCTTCTGCTTCCCTTTCTGTCCTACCGCCGCCACCACCACCACCACCACCCCTGCCTCCACCACCATCACTTCAGCACAATGTTTCTGCCATTGACCTTATTAAAGAGCGCAAAGGAAAAAGAATAAATTCTGGCAAGACTCTGATAGATAGTGATCCAAAGAAGCTTGAAATGCCAAATATGCTAGATATCCTGAAAGACATGAACAATGTAAAGCTGCGCTCAGTGAAAAGGTACGTTTCCCCCTTATTAAAGATAGGGTTGCAGGGAAGAAGTGCAATATTTTGATTAATGCTATGCAGAGATGGAGATGTGATAATCATTTATTTGCTTGATTCAGATAATTAAAGTAGCCTCCCACAAGTGAATGTGCATCAAGTTCATCGTTTGGTTTTCAAACAGGAGCTTGTCATTTTAATGAGTAAAAATAGACCCTCTTAACAACCAGAATTGGGACCCATAACCACATTGCTAAGTGATAGTTGACAACATATCATGACTGACAAATTTATAATGTTGATTTTCCTGGGGTGGTTAATCAAGTCACTAGAGTTGTTAAGAAAGACATCAGATGGCCCAAATTGCAGTTTTACTGATGGCTTCTCAGTGAAGTACCTTCAGAAGGCAGCTGTTCACATGACCACAGGACGCTGCAACGGTTGTAAGCGTCTGCCAGTTGCGAAGTACTCTAATCTCGCTCATGGGATAGCAGGGACAGCAATTTAAGTACAAGGACAGGTCATAAAGTTATTTTTTTCAAGACAGTCATTAAATGAATGTCTGTATCAACTTTTAAAACTAAAGAAAAAGAGGATGATAGTACTTTACTATATATTTTCTATGCCCAGCTGTTTTACCTGATAGACCTGAATATAAAGAGGTATTCTGATACTTCTTTCTTGTTTTTCTGGCACTTGAAGTGTGAAAGCAAAAAAACGATAGGCAAAACATTGGTGAAAATGGTGCATATATTTGCCTCATTTGAAGTCAGTGTGTCATAAAAGCCTTACCTTATTCTTTTGAAGGCCGGAGGAAAGCACAATAAGGAAAACTGCTGACCCAACAGATCCTGCTGCAATAATAGCTGAGGCTCTTAAAAAGAAATTTGCATATCGATACCGTAGTGACAGTTCAAGTGAAAGTGATAAACAGAATTCAGCTTCTGAAACAAAGATGGTAAGTAAGTGTTTGGTCCCAAGTTTGACCGTTGTACTGAGCCATGGTGTGTTGAAGAAGTCATAGAATCTGGTTGTACTAACATCAGGAGTAAGCCAGTTTACAAGCAACCAAGGTTCACATTTTAAGCTACATTGGAGTTTACATAAATTCAGGATTAGAGATCTCCAGGAGAATGCCTAATCTCAAGAGATTGGCAAACTAATGTCAACCCATACTTTTAACTTGGCTTATTATCAGTTCCAGTATTTACAATTGGTTTCCTTGAGTTAAAGGAGCAAGCTGCCAGGGAACATTTGCTTCCTTTCATTCTGGTGGATTTAGTACTCCCACTAATAGAATCTAAAGCAATGTATTTCAAACTTGGCAACTCTTAAGAACCGTGGACCTAAAATCATAGAATTCCCCAGCTACTGATCTAAAAAGTGTTTTAGAAGTAGGCATGAACTGCTGGTCAATAAAAATTCCCACATATTGTATACAAACATTGCAAGGAGGAAAATACATGGATTTTTTTTTTTTAGTTTATATTCTTTTTCTTTTCACAGTTTGGGCCACACCTGCTGAAGTCTACAGGAAAAATGAAGAATCTAATTGAAAATGTTAAGTAGAAAAAACATGCTTCAGTATAAAGGGACCACCTCAACTGTTTTGAGAATTATATTTATAATTTTACAATACTGAGTAGTGTGTCTTGCTTCCATGAACAAGTTTAAAAACGAAAATTCTACCATGTTCTAGCACAGGTTTTAGTATTTATGTACAAGTTGTGTTGGGCTAACACTAAGTTATAAATGTCACTTTTAAACTTACGTGAATGCAATTATAGTTTAAATTATAGCTTTGATGTAATATCTGAAATATAATAGTAGGACATATTTAGCCTGAATTGACATCTCATTTTGAACTTGAAATACAGACTTCACTGGAGCCACTTTTCTTTCTATAGGGTGAAGGTGACAACGCTTGAGTATTTTATTATTAGCAGAATTGGCTAAATTTAAAGCAAATGCTGGAAGAAACTAGCCAAAGCTTGATCATGTTTTTAGATAGAATGTAACACTATAATTGCAACTTTATTCTAGCGATAATGCACATATGAGCATATCAACAGTTACTAATGAAACTTAATATCTAATTAGCATTGTTGTCTCCTTCATAAACCTTCAATCCTGCTTACTCACCAATTCCTGTTGAACTGAATTGCAGATAATAAACTGTCAAATAAGTCAGAAAATAATTCGAGATTGGAAAAAATAATTGAAGGCCAGCTTTCCTGTTGAGTAAAACATTTTACTTCTTGAACAGAGTATTTTGTCAGTATTTTGTCATCTTGGGTAGTATTTGCGAATTGCTGAATAATTTGGTATGACATGGAAAAGTGGTTTATCTGCATATGTTTTAATAGCAAATTTAACGTAAATGTCATGAAATGCTTAAAAGCAAATTTCACTTTGAAATTTGTTCAAATATGAAAATGTTTTTAAATTGATCATGTAAAATTGCTCCCAGGTACTTTAATGTTTATTATGGTATAGTTATATCAGTATTTTTAAACTTTTCCACCACTGTTCAAAATAAAAAAAATAGTATAATATATATTACATTAGTCTGGTCATATTTTGATGCTTGAACAAAGAATACTGCACAACGGGGCCTAAGAACATCTAAATCAAATAAAATGAACAAAATGTATGCATTAAAACCACAGGTGTCAAACTCGCCGCGTCACATGACATGTTGTGACATATCACAATTTTTTTCGCATTGCTGGAGCTGTGGTGGGTGTGACCTCTGCACAATGCAGCCGGCCAGCAGGACAGCAGTTTGACGCCCCTGCACTAAAAGGATTGGTTCAATTTAAAGATACAATCTGTATCTGTTAAGTCCTGAATCAGGTTTGCTTTAGACGGGAAAAGGTAGTTTTAAAAAGAGGTAACATGGAAAGTGTTTTAACCTTGGAACAGCTGCTTCAAATTTTCCAATGGCTCAAAATGCCAAATTGTGGCTGATTTGTGAATAAAATGTTTTCAAACAGCCCAGCCTGACTTGTATAGCAACAGAGATAAATCATATCTCTGCTAATAATTATTTAGACAAAATAGGATGATGTGGGAACAGACCAATGAGGAAGATAAAGCATACATCAGTCAAAAAATGTCAACTTCATAGTCTAATTTATTATTGCTAGTTTGTGCTGTTTAAGGGAACTTAACCTTCCTGTATATAAATGGATAGGTTCTATATGGGTTGTGCTGTACCCTGTAAGCAAGTAATTGCTTCTGTGAATACAGGTAGTTCTAAATTTACAACCTCAAAGGGCCATCACAAAATGTTGCACTGCTCCCAACCAATGATCGCATCACATTTCAGGCTCTTGGCAACTGGCTCACATTTATGATCACATTTTGCAAATTTTTTGCCATTTTCTGGCAAAAACACCTATTGATTAAGCATCATACTTACTACTACATGGTGTGCATAATGACAATGACGACTTGCTTAACAACTACCCTGACTTACGTTCTCAATTGTGGTCATACATTGAGGACTATCTGTATGCATTACAATAGTATGCCATTATCACTGCTGAAGATATGTAAATACAAAGATTCCTAGTACAACTTTTAACTTTAGAATGCAAAGAACAGAGTATTTGCTATGGATTGGATTACTGATAACATGATTTAGATTAGAGGTAGCCATAGAATCAAAGGAGTAACTAATCTTGATCTAGGTAGAGATCAAGTAGAAAATGTTAGCAACTGCATTTAGTAAATTTACTAAATTTAAATTAATAAATTAGTCCATGAGTTGCAGTTGTAACAACCTGTAAGTTGGTTAAATAAAAAACAATTTCACAAAGAAACCATGCAAGCCTATCAGTAAGTAATGTGATTTTAAAAAGATATAATAAAGTTATATCCCATTATGTCCCATTGAGTTCTAGTTTATCAGTATGAAGCATTGCTGTTTCCAGGAATAGAGTCCCCAGTAATTAAAAGAGTTTGAAGAGAGGTACTGAAAAGAAAACAGACTGTATATCTTATTTCTGTAATCAGTATTGTGCAGATTTAAATGGTATCAATAGCTGTAGCATAGCTAGCAATGTCAGCATATTAGAATTAGCAATTTTGAATATCAGATCGAATAAACAAGGAGACTGGTGAATCTCAAAACCTAATGTTTAATGTATAAAAAATCTGTTCTGCATAAATTGCATTTTATTCAGAGGAAGAATGCTCATACCCTAGACAACTGGAAGCAGGGGAAAAAAGAGGTTTCTGAAGCAGATTTATCCAATTATGATTGATAATTAATTCAATATATTCAAGACAGGATAAATGTTGCATCTCTAAAAGATCCTGCAGTATAGTATTAGTATTATATGACAGCAAACAAAGGAGCGGATTGCATTAAAAAGCTGGAATGAAATCCACACCATGACTGCTGAATAATGTTGAGGTTTTGCTCAAGACCACAAGTAAGCCATAAGTTTTCTGTGCCGCTACAACTTGGAAGAATCATCGTGTCATGACCGTTAGCAGGTCTGAATGAAATCAGAAACACTAAGACTGAAGAAAATAAGAACCCCAGAAACATCAGAAAGGAGGTAGTTGCTAATGAGATAGCAGTTATAGTAGAAACCTATGTTCACAAGAATTGAAATCTGCCAAAAGATTGTGGGAATTAAAACAGTGTCAAGAATAAAAATCTGAACAACAGAAAGCCAGACTCTGAACATCTACATGCAATTGAAAAACCTGTAAGCTCTTTTTTTTAAAGACCAGACAAAAGCACAAAAGTTTTAGCAATGTATCGAATGAAGAGCAAGGGAGAATAGAAGGTGGCTGCACTTCAACCAATAGGGGTTATGGGACACTCCAAGTTCAACCCACCAAAGAGAGTTAAAGCTGCTTTTATCCTTTCTTTCTAACCAGATGTTTTGTGCACAATGCCAAGTTTCACAAATAGTTTGGAACTGAAGAGACTAAGTGGAACCACAGCTGTTGATAGCAAGTTTTTTTCATTTGGTAAAAATAAGTACTGCATGTCTGCATTGGATGAAGAGAACAATGACCCTGCAATTAAGAGTTCCCACACTAGCACCTGTCTTAAGAGCCTCAGCTTTGGTGACCCTGATTTGTGGGCAAACAATGCCAATGTACCATTTTCTCATATGAGAGACAAGGAACACCCATCAGTGGATAAGATTTTTCCTCCACATTAATATACGTAAAAAAGGTTATTTCTCTGCGTTATGTTATGTTCCCCAAGAAAAGGCCATAGAATTGCCAAATACCGTATATACTCGAGTATAAGTCGACCCGAGTATAAGCCGAGGGACCGATTTTCCCACAGAGAACTGGGAAAAATTGGTGACCCGCGCATAAGCCGAGGGGGCATTTTGGCTGTTCCTCCCTGGCCGCCGCCCCACCCCCGCCCCCNCCCCCGCCGCCGCCGCCGCCGCTGACTCGAGTATAAGCCGAGGGGGGCATTTTTCAGCCCCAAAAATGGGCTGAAAAACTCGGCTTATACTCGAGTATATACGGTAAGTACTACGGCCTCCCCTTCTAATCAAAGTCCATAACTACAAAGATAATACAGAAATTAATTTGTGATTAGAAAAGCAAAAGAGAAAGAAAAATGAAAAAAAACCTCTCAAGACAAACCACTGGTAGCTTTTTAATAGGTATCGGCTTATAGCTTACTACAAGACTTCTTAGTTTCCCATAACAACAATCCTCTGAGGAAGTTTGGGTTGATGAAGAGTGATTGTCCCAAAAAATCACCTAGTGAGCTTCCATGGCTAATGATGGCCTAGAACAGCGGTTCTCAACCTATGGGTCACGACCCCATTTGGGGTCGATTGACCATTTCACGGGGGTCACCAAGCAAGGCTGTCCGCCAATTTTTTCCCCCTTTTCCGGCAGGTGCCTTACCTCCCTTGAGCTGGGCCAGCTGGTGGTCGGCCTGCTCCGTGTCTCTGCCGCTTGCCAGCTACGCCTCGGCCGGCGCAGGGGGCGGAACCACGCATGCACGGCGCTCCCGGGCAGGGAAAGTCCTCGACTTACGACCGGTTGGGTAGTCCTCGACTTACGACCGGTTTAGTCCTCGACTTATGACCGGTTTAGTTTTCGACTTACGACCGGTTGGGGGTCGCGGCATTAAAAAGGTTGAGAACCACTGGCCTAGAACCTGGATCTACCCATATATTCGAACCCTTGAAACACCTATAGTGCACCTGAGGTTATCAGAGAAAAGGCTCCTGGCGCTGCTTCTGTAGTTGAAAAGAGACTGAGGAGATAACTGGACCCACACCCAGGAATTTGGGCCCTAGGATATGTTTTTCCCACTAAAGATTTTCCTTGGCTTTAGAACATTTTGGTTTAAGTGCTGTATATTTGCTGCATAAGGACCACAAAGAAAACATCTACAAAACATTGTGTAGCTTTTATAAAAAGCTCTTATAGAATCCAAAGTCACTAAGAAAGAAATTCTTTGATTAATGTGATCTTAACTATTTCTCCACCTTTCAAACTAGACTCGAGATAATGTGAAAAGTTTTTATTATTAATCAAAGATTAACAGCAACAGGCACATTAACATGAGGATGGCAAAGCCTTTAAGAAATGGCTTTACACTGAAGCTCTCTCCCAAAAATGGCTGTTGCAAATTGTAAACAGAACAAAACAGTCTTTACAGTAAAAAACAAGGAAAATACAAATGAACAAAATTAAAGCACCAGTTTCTCAAAATAGATTACAGTTGTGCTTACAGTACTTAAAACTTAAAACTTACAAAAAAAGGAATGCTTGAAGATTAAAAATTAGTCCTTAAAATTTGTCCTTAAAAACATTTCTCCTTTTCACATCAAAAAAACCCAGAATGGGTAACATTTCAGTAGAGGGAGGGAATAAGTAAACAATGCACTTTTTCAATCAACAAAATTTGGTCACTTAGCTTTGTGCATAGTTTAAGGCAGCTGTAACAACCTATCAGTTCCCCTCCCCTCCCCCCACCCCCGTGGCTGCTCATGAAAATATCACATTCTAAAAAGAATAAATTAAAAAATGCCTTTTGACTCCTTTTCATTTTCCCCCTTTTTCACAATCCCACCAGGTACTCATTCATTCATTCATTCATTCTCTCTCTCTCTCTCTCTCTCTCTCTCTCTCTCTCTCTCTCTCTCTCTCTCTCTCTCACTCACTCACTCACTCACTCACTCACTCACTCACTCACACTCACTCACTCTCTCTCACTCACACACACTGCAGCGTAAGGGGCATTTTGTACCCT